GCGACCGACTCGCCGATCGCTCCGTGGGAGAGGTTGGGGCTCTGGCGTTAGCCGCTCGCTCCCAAGTATGCTCCGATATCCAATGGGGAACATCACCTCCGTGATCTGGGCTGTCGCCGCACGCGGGCGAGATGGTGGCGACGGGGCGGGGCGCGAGGGGCTGTGATTGCCGCGCCCCAAAGCCAGGGGGGCTCTGAGTCTGATTTCCGCCAACCTCCTCAGCCGCCACTCGGCCGCCGTCCACTGGCCCGCGGTCCGAGGCCCCCTCTGAGACCTGCTCAACCTCGGAGGGCTCCTCGATGCCCACGCGCTGGGGGGGGCCCTGGCCGTCGTCCTCGCCCAGGCACTCGAAAGGGTCGGCGTAGTCCTCGTCCATGGAATGACGCTCGTGGGCGGCATGGGCCTGGTGTCGGCCGCCCTCGCCTTTGACGGCAACGGATGTAGCATGCGCATGTAGCATCGTGAACGGCTGCCAGCAGCGGCGACATAGCGAACGTGCTGAGGCTGCGGGTGTTGAGCTGGGGCGGCCTGCCACCGAATGCGCCTCTCTCCCGGGCGCGTCGTCCTGTGTCGGCAACGGCGGCGAGTTCTCAACATCATCAGCCCACGGGTCGTCGCCGTCGCTGGAGGAGAACCTCTCGCCGACCGCATCATCGGTTGACATGTCCGCTTTGAGTGCCTCTGCCTGGCTGCCGAGGGCCTCCAAGAAGAAATCGCCCCGCTTGTGGCGGGTGGCGTCTTCGCGGGGGCGCGCCTCACGCCGCTCGGTGGAAGTTGTCGGCGGGGGGCGGGGGCGCGCGCCCGCGGGCAAGGGTCTTGGCGCCGCCAGGCGGCGCGTCATCAACTGCTGGCCACTGCCGACGGGCTCACTCGCGAGGCCGCAGTGGGTCTTCCAGGGGGCGGCCTGCACGTCTAACCCAAGCGACGTACGGTAGTCAGGAGGTCGAGCACAAGCCGCAGTCGACGCGCGATCCCGCGGTGCCCGCAGCGCAAGTGAAGGTCGAGTTGCACTTCGGCACGCGCCCGCCGACCTGCTCCACGAAGCCGCGCCGCTGCAACGCCGACGGCCCCATCTTGAAATCACCGAGCGCCAGCCAGGGCAACTGCAGGGCCGCGAGCAGCGCGCCGAGGCGAGCGCACCTGTGTAGGATATCTCCCGCCCAGCCGAGGGACGAGAAGGCGCGCGAAATGATGGCCACCACGGCATGCCACTGCACGTGCAACACGCCGGCCTGGAAGCCGCCCAGGTCAGAGGATGCCGGGGCGCACAGTTGCCTGGGCGCCGGCGCGGTGGTTTCCGAGCGGTGCACGTGGAGATGCTGGCGGGCGAGCAGGCACTCACCGCCCTCGGCGCCCCCTCCGCTCGAGGCACGGGCGGGGTTGGCGTGAACCTTCCATCGCACGCCTCCCCCCTCACGCGTCCACTCCTCCAACTTGGCCGAGGAGCGGGCGCGTGTCTCTGCGAGGCCCAGGAAACCATAGTCGGCGCACCCTTCTCCAAGAACTCCCAGGAATGCGGTCCCATCGCAATGCTGTTCGCGAAAAAGAGAGCGCGGGTGTGTGGGAGGGGGGGGGGGGCGCGCCACGATCCACATGCGCCCAGTCGATGATGGGCCCCCGTCCTGATGCTGACGCTCCGAGAGCGCAGCCGGCTGCGACTGCGGGAGCTAACCCCATCAACACCAGGGCAACATCATGGCTGTCAAAATTGCGCGGCTGCGCGCCACTGCCAGCCACGCCAGCTGCTACCTCTGAAGCCGCTGGCGGCGCCTGGCGTCACAGGCTGCTGCCCTCGGCGCCGGGCGACGCCGCATGCGCGGCCTCCGACGTTGCACCTGGGCCAGCCGAGCCTGGTGCACTGCGAGCTGCCGAAGCCACCTTCGCTTGCTCGGCGGCATTGAACTTGTCCTGGCTCAGCTTGGCAGCAGCCGCCGCCGCCAGCACGGGGTCGCCTGTCTTCTCGGCAGGGGCTCCTGGAGCACCTCCAGCGTTCTTCGCGGCGACACCGTCTGTCGCTGCTGCTGCTGCTGCTGCTGCTGCTGCAGCGTCTGTCGCTGCTGCTGCTGCGTGAGCTGCTGCGGGTGCTGCTGCCGCATTTTCTGCTGCGGCTGGTGCTGCTGCGGCTGGTGCTGCTGCCGCCTGCGCATGGTTCTGGGCGTCGCCGTTGCCGCCCTTGCGTTTCTTGGCCAGGCGCTGGCGGCTGGTGGCGGCGAGGCGCTGCGCAGCGGCCAGCTTCTCGCAGACCTCCCCCGAACGGGACTGGAGGAGGTCACTCGCCGCGAGTAGTTCCTTGCGGAGGTTGGCCAAGCTGCCGCGCTCCTGCTCGTCGATACCTCTGAGACTCGACTTCCAAACTGTTTGCGCCGAGTCGGCACCACCGCACTGCTACCAGCTGCCGCCCGGCAGCTCATGGCGCGCGGCCCCAAGAACGCCTCGCGGAGCCTTGGCGCGACCCCGCGGCCCCGCTCCAAGGGCGACGGAGCCAAACGGTTCTCGGGAGGAGGAGGGGGAGGAGGAGGAGGAGGAGGAGGAGGAGGAGGAGGAGGAGGAGGAGGAGGAGGAGGAGGAGGAGGAGGAGGAGGGGGAGGAGGAGGAGAAGGAGGAGGAGGCGGCCCCGGCAGACCAGGCCAGCGCACGAAACCCCACGAGGCCCTGGCAGGCAAAAAACGTTGGCAGACCCCGCCAGTGCACGAGGCTCCCACGAGGAGGCGCCCACGGTCGCCCGCCAAGCGAATCTTCACCATACCCAACCAAGCCATCGAGGATAGACTTGCCTGCGTATACCGTATGCCTATACACACGATCCCTCACGCGATCCCTCCTCCGCAGAAAGTCTCCCCTTCGCTGAAGAAAATACCCGCAGCACTTCAGAGCGCGGCTTACTGCTGTAAATCACTACTCCTTCCCCTCATGGATCGAATGCTGATGTTGCGAATCATCTCCTCTGACTCCCCTCGCTCATCGCTGACCGCCTTATGTGGTCGTTGCTGCGCCACCACCACCCTCCACCTCCTCTTAATCCGGATGCTGCCCTTCCAGTGCAGTCAAACCGTATCAGAAGGATGTGCGGTAAGGGTGCAAACGCCTTGGAGGCCCGTGTTAGCGTTGTTCGAACGAGTTTGGCCAGCGAAAGTCGCTGAGGTGGGGCTGAAGGGGCAAGGATGCCCTTGGGAAGGCTGCCCATTCTTACTATGCTATGCTGGCTGACTGTACGGGGAAGGAGGGCAAGAAGCTGCATCGTGAAACGGAGAAACGGACAAGGAAGATACGACTGATGGAGACTAACAGTGTAAGGAATACACATGAAGGAGCAATGACACGAACATGATACACGGAAGTGATGTTAAGGATGGGCAGCATCAGGGTCGCATTGGGCAGGATGGGGAGGAACATCACCACAACACTTACTCCTACCAGAAGGATCGGCAATATGACGAGAACGATCCGAAGTAGGAGCACGATCAGAAGGAGAAGGGTGAGGATGATGAGAACAATCTGAAGAACGACAATAACAACAAAAGCACACACCGCGTGTGTGAACGTCGTGGGCGCAGAATGATACATCCAATGGACAAACGCAACCGTAACAGAAAGAAAACGGCGAGCAAGATGAGAAGGATGACAACGAGGACGAGCAAGGCAAAGACGTCCTTATGAAATATGCGTGCGTTCGGGTGGCTGGCCCTCGCCAGCGACTTTGAACTGGGTAACACCCAAGTGCTGCCAGCTCATACGTGGCAAGACTTTATGTGTGAGAAAGAACGGAAACTGACCTAGATTGCGGCTCGCCGGCCCCGAGTTCACAACATGTGGCAACAAACCCTTGCACGTTCTGTAGACTCAAACAGGGTGGTCCGAAATATCCCAAGAAGAGCGAACATGTTCAACCTGACGCGATGCAGGGCTGGATGGCAACTACTCAAAATACTTCTGCGCATGATTACTGTTTAGCCCTCCCAACCAGCTCATAAACTGACCATGTCTCATTGGCTGTAATAGTTCCCAGTCCAATCTTAAGCGTCGCACGTTGGAAACATCGAGTAGACATATGATGTTGGACCCTCCGCAATTGGGTTCATTTGTTCAAGTGCTGTCTCACTTGTTGACCCACAGGCCGACGAACTATCAGACTGGGAAGCTTAAAACAATAACTACCGTGGTGTCGTGCTGGCCCTCTCGCAAGGGCGAGCTGTCCTTGAATTCCCCGCGGGATTGCCCCACAACGTTCTTGCACTGAGGGGTCCATACTTGTCTACCGGTTACGTTCAAGGTGTTCCAAATTTCCCCTGCTGGGTGGTAGTCCAGGGTCTGTGCTCGGTCCCGGCCCCCACGGGCGCCCCGTGCACTCCGCGCCACACAGCCTACACCACATAGCCTGCCACATTGACTGCACAACCTCAGCTTGCACCACCGAGCTTTGCACAACATATCTTGCACCACGTGGCGTGCGGCACAGTGCTTGCGCCACAGGCACGGCGTAGACCACGTAGCGTGCACCGCACAGCTGGCAACACATAGCTTGCACCGCCTATAGTTTACCCCGGCTAGCTTGCACCACATAGATTGCACCACACGGATTGCATCACATAGCTTGCACCACATAGCTTGCACCTTACGGCTTGCACCACATAGCTTACACCACGTAGGCTACACCACATCGCTTACACCACACAGCTTGCACACCGTAGGCACCAAATGCCTTGAACCACATAGCTTGCAGTGCGCAGCCTGCGTCATGTAGCTTGCACCAAATAGCTCGATCGCCCGTGGCCAGCGATGGCCAGTGGCCATGGAGCAAAGCAACCCAGAGCGAGGTGTCCACCAGTCAGCTGTCAGGTCAAACTGGACTAAGAGGAGCAGCGGGAGCGTGGGGAGGGGCCGGAGAAGGGAGGTGCAGGACAAGAAATAAGCGGGATGAGCACCACCCCGAAGAGCAGGAAGAGGAAGGAGGGATGATCAGGGCGAGCAGTGAAGAGAAAGAGGCGAAGGCGAGGAGGAGCACCCTCAGCGATTCGAACTCAGCGTCTTTCCAGTACCGCCTTCCGACCGCCAGGTTCTCCCAGGGGGGTGCGTCGAGCAGCATCGGGATCTGCGAGACGTGCAGGATGCGGAGGTGCGCCTACAAGAACAAACAAAACTGCAAAAGCATAGACTTTTGGAGCTCCGCGCGGACTTCTTGTGTCTGCGCTGGACTCTCCCCTCCCTGACGCACGGGACCCGCCAGGGGGTCCAGCGCCCATCCGAGAAATCCGCTCGGAGCTCCCAAAGTTTCTGTTTGTACACTTTTGCTCTTCATCGAGCGCCGGCACGAAGATCTCCCCCTCCGAGGGGGTCTCCACAAGCCCAAGCAGCCGCAGGACCGTCGACTTGCCCTCGCGGCGGGGCCCCACGACGGCCACCAGCTTCCCCTGCGGCACGCTCACCTGTGGACGCCGCCCAACCATGGGGCCAGAACACATGGCTGGGACTGTCATGATGCGGTTGGCCCAGGGTGCGCCCCAGAGATTCTGGAATACCTAGCGGGCCTCGTTCCTGCAGCCCGCGCGGAGCAGTCGGAGCTCTGGAAAAGATGGCAAATCCTGGAGCGCATCCTTACGGGAGACGCAGGGCTCGGGCTCGGGGGACGCAGGTGGGCCTGACAGGGCCGTCAGAAAAATGGCGAGATGAAATTTGACGCGAGCTCTCGCTGCAGACATCCCACGAAGACCGGAGCGCCAGACTCCATAACGGGGCCGTCAAAATGCGCAAAGGGGCCCAGGGACATAAACCCCAGGTTTCCCAATCATATTTTCCCAATATTTCTGGTGGGTCCTCGTCTTCCCCTCGAACTTCCCAGATGCTCCCATCTTCTCCTGGGAGTCGACGATTCGTTGTGCCGGTGTGTGTGTGTGTGTGTGTGCCTTCCCCCTCCTGATTTGGGGCGTCCTGGGACCTGGAAGCGCTCGATTGCTGGTGCGGTGGCGCCGGGATACGAAAACGACACGCCGTCGACGCTAATGGGGATGGCGTCCGTGGGGAACTGCGTGCCCGTGCGACGGCGCAGCTCTGCCAGCCGGTCCGGCGAGCGCTCCAGCTTCGTCCTGCTCCGGCGCTGCCTGTTGACCCTTTTGTTGCTGCGTAGGTCGGTCGGCAGATTCATGAAGACCGTCATGTCCTGGATGGGTTCGACTGCCTTCGAGATGCTGATCAGCGATGTAAAGATGTCCTTGAAGCCCTCGCCCACGTCCTTGATGACCCCGCTGGTGGCCAGGAAAGCTCCGATCTGGAGGTCGCCCTGGACAACCTGCTGCCCGCCATAGATGATGTAAGCCGCGGTCAGGACATTCGCAAGCCAGCCAGGGTAATACTCGTTCACGCACTCCAGCGTTTGCGCAGGGATGCTTGCCTTGCTCAGCTCATGCACATTTCGCTCGAGTTCGTCCTGGATCTTCGGACGCATGAGGTAATCGGCGATGAGGCGATACTTCGCAGCAGAGTCCTCTTCTTCCACCAACCTTCCTGACCGTTATCCTACTCCTCCTGAGGAGTAGGGCCTCCTCCTCATCTTTCTCATGTGCACTCCTAACGATCCTCCTCCTCCCCTCCTGCATTCCTGCACGGTGGCGACCATGCGGCCCTCCTGCTTCGAGATGGCTTCCTGGACTCTGACACTCTCGTCTCCATTTACGGCGACGAAAGCCAGGGTTGCTAACGTAAAGATCCGCTGACACCCACCTGCTTAGGGTGTCTAGGATGTCTGGCTGCCCCTCTCTCTACGCCTCTTCGCATCACGTCTGTTCGCAAGCGAGCGATAGCAAGTTAGGGACACCATCCCAACGCCGAGGCCATCAACTCAACTTGCAAGTAGCAGCTCACTTGCGATAATGTGCACCCCGTTGCCTGCTCCTCTTCCTCGCCCTCTGTAGATTCACGGTGCTAGTTGTGCCAGATGCGCTTCCCTTCAGCCCTCCCCTTCTCTAGCTTGCATGCTGCAGCCATACCCTGCTCGGACTGGCTTATCCCTATTCCCCTTTGTCCCTGCAGTCAAGAACAATCCGATACCACGTTATCCCCTCTCCCACATACTTGTGCCCGTTTACAATTGTTATTCGCTGGACAAGGTAGACTGCGAGTACAGTCAAGACGTGCCCGTTGAGTAAAAAGGAGTCCAGCACCGTGGGACGGATTTAAGTGGTAGCTAGCCGGCGACGACCACTGGCTCCAGAGGATCCATGCCGCGAAACGAAGACGGCGGAAGACGCTGCAAATCCGTCCGAGGATGACCAGGCTCGAGGCAATCGTGATCGTGATCCTCCACCGAGCTATGATGGCGTTAGCCCCAAAGCGGCGTACAAGCAGTGAAAGTTAGGAGCTCGAGCTGTGGACGGTGACCACGGACATTCCGAAGCAGAAATGGGGCGCGAAGCTCAGCAGGAGCTTGCAGGGCACCGCGAGGGAGGCGATTGTGCACACGGAGGTGGCCGACATCGTGGGCGAGAGCGGCCTGGGCCGCATCCTGACCCTGCTGGAAGAAGCGTGCGCGCCGCTCCTGGAGCAGACCATGCCCGGGGTCGCCAAGACGGCTACTCCAGATTTCGTAATAAAGGGAGGGGGGTCTCATTTCGGGGGGGTTCTCTTCCAGGCTATCTTGGAGGGCCTGGGGGGGTCTGGGGACGCTGTTTGGGAGGGTTCTCCCACGGGGGGGGGGTCTAAAACTTCTCGCCTGGGAGGGTTGAGACCCCCTTCCCTTTTGTTGCGAAATCTGGAGTAGAGGAAGAGAGAGAAGCACCACAAACATAAAATGTGGGCGCTCCGCGCGGACTTATTGGGTCTGCGCCGGACCCCCCCCTCCCTTGCGCGAGGCGCGCGCCAGGGGCGGCGCCCCCGGCGAGGCCAGGGGGGCCCAGCGCGGGCCCACGAGGGCCGCGCGGAGCGCCGGGGATCGATGCTCGTGGCGGTCTCTCCGTTTTGAGAACGCGGCGTGCACGTCCTTCCGCGAGACGGGCAGATCTGTGCTAGCCTGCGCCTTTCGCGCCTGTCCCCGGGCTCCGTGAGAGCAGGAGCGCGAGGGAGTGGGCCTGCCCTGCGTCGCCGAGGGCTACGCCGTGATGCGGCACGCGGAGCTCGGTGACAAAGGTGAGGGCACGATCGAGACGCACTCTTCCCTCCTCCCTCCTCCTCCTCCTCCTCCTCCTCCTCCTCCTCCACCTCCTCGTCCTCGTCCTTCTCCTCCTCCTCCTCCTCCTTGACGGCGGGCAGCTTCTACGAGGCTGAGGTGATCAGGCTCCCCGCAGGCTGGACAAGGTCACCACTGACAAGGGCGACTGGCAGATCTTCGGCGAAGACGCTGAGCCAAGAGAACTCGATGGAGAGAGCTTCCCAGTGATGAGAGACAGTGATGAAGGAGATGAGGACGACCCCGAGTACAGTCACCACGTATCATAAGGATGCGCGGTAAGGATGCAAGGGCCTTAGAGGCCCACGTGGACGCTTTTCGAACGAGGCTGGCCAGCGAAAGTCGCCAAGGATGGTCCGAAGGGGGAAGGATGCAGGGGTACCGGGTACCCTTGGGAAGGTTGCCCATCCTTACGATGTGGGTTGACTGTACGTCTACGTGATGGAGGACGACCTGTGGGAAGCGCAGTAGGAGACCGACGTCACCACGGCGCTGGCTTCGCAACAAGCGGTGCGGGAGACGCTGCGCCGGGAGATGACCAGGAGGGGCTTCCACAAGGGCAAAGGGCAAGGGCGGCGACAAAGACGGAGGTCCTCCGCCGCCGGTCGCGAGGCTCGGCCGCAGCGCCAGGTATCGAGACGGCCAGGGACGCAAAGTATGGGCGCACATCGACGTGATCAAACTGAGGACGAAGTGCGCTCGGTGCGGCCGGGTCGGGCACTGGGCCAAGGAGTGCGCCAGCACTCCTGAAGCCCGTGGTGCGGCAGCTGCAGGCGCAGCTGCAGGCGATGAAGTCTGGCGTCTGTGGGCGCGATAGCGCTCGACGCAGCAGTAAGCCTGGACTCGGAGGGACAGTTCTTGGAGTGCGATTCCAAGTACAAGCATCGTCGTGATCATGATCTGGCCCTGATGCCCATCGAGCGTCCCATCAGCCTCGTGGCCACCAGGCCCGTCTGGGCAGCGTCTGCTGGGTGTTCGAAAAGTCTTGAAGGAGGTGCGAGGCCCATCGTCGGCCTGCGGAGCCTCTTCCGTGTGCAGGATATTCTGGAATGCGGTCGCTGGGGGGACCAGGGACCCGAAAGAGCTCCCGGGGATGATGTGGAGTCTGGGGCGCGGTGTGAGCTTACTCTCGGGGATGGAGAAGCATTGGTAGACACCGCGGCCCCATCGGGCTTGATTGGGATTCGGGCTCTGCAGTAGTTGAGCGAGGCTCTCAAGGTCTGGGGACTCAGGGAGAAACGGATCGGCAAGCCAGCCCGGGCTCAGGGAGTCGGAGGTCATGCCAAGGCTTTTGGAGTCGTCGTCACGCCTTTCGGCGGTGGAGGCTCCCATTGGCTTCTCGAGCTCACCGTAGAGCAGGGCGTGGTGCCTATGCTGTTGCCCATCAAGCCCCTCAAGAATGTCAGCGCCCTAGTAGATCTGGATGACATGAATCTAATCCTTAGGAAGGCGGGAACAGAGGTTCCCATCAGAGAGATTGACACGGGCCTCGTAGCGATATCCATCGTTGAAGTTCGTCCTCAGGGTTGGGAGGTTCCACCTGGATACCACGGTCATCGTGACGAGGACTTCCGCATCGATAGCCATTCGAGTCAAGGCGAGTCTCAATTGGAGTCGGCGGCCAGTCATGCTTCCAGCCATTCCATCTCTTCGTGAGGTGCAGAAGGCGCGGCTCCTAGCACGGACTGCGCCGCGGCAGGCTTGGGTCAGCTTCGCCTGCGGCATCGTGCTCTTGGCGTCTGTGCTGCCGCCTGCGGGACTCCCCTCGACGCTGCGTCCTGGGTCCGCTTGGGCCGGGAGAGCAGCGACGAGGAGGAGGAGGATATCGAGATCCGGGTGCACTGGAGCTCGATGGCGACCTGCGCAAGCACTTCAGATGGAGGAACTGACGGGCTGTCCACGCGCGTCGTGTGCTACTCAGAGGGGAAGGTCACGTACTGCGCCTGCCGGGAAACGGAAGGAGGCTCGAGAGGAAGACAGGACCAGTTCAAGAGGGCGAAGAGGTACTGCGTGACCGATCCGGGCATTGAGCGCTTCGGGGTGCTCTACTAGCACAAGTGCAAAGACAACCGAAGCAAGTTCCACGAGTGGGATACCCTGCCGCCGGATCGGCGTCACTGGAAGTGGTTGCTGAGCTACCCGCTGAAGATGACGACGGGACAGTTCGCGAAGAAGATGGCCGAGTGTGCTCACCCCTCGACAAGCTGAAGGACCTGCGGCGGGCAATGATCCCAGTGTGGAAGGAGATGGGAGAGTTTCTAGCCAAGGAGAAGGTCCACACCTTGCAGACTGCTCTTTTTCCTGGGGGGGGTAACACGTGTTGAATGGGGGGCGGGAAGGGGGGGAGCTGACGGTCACAGCGGCCGCCGCGGCAAGTGCTAGTACCAATGCGAGCACAAGTACGAGCTAATGGGAGTAGCATAAGTAGTAGTGGTAGTAGTAGCAGTAGTAGTACTACAATTAGTACTACTGGTCAAAGTCGTAGTAGTCGTAGAAATAGTAGTAGCAGTAGTAGCAGAAGTAGTAGTAGTAGTAGTAGTAGTAGTAGTAGTAGTAGTAATAGTAGTACTAGTAGTACTAGTACTACTAGTAGTAGTAGTAGTAGTAGTAGTAGTAGTAGTAGTAGTAGTAGTCGTAGTAATCGTAATATTAGCAATAGTACTGGTGGTAGTAGTAGTAGTAGAAGAAGAAGCAATGGCAGTAGTAGTGGAAGTCGTAGTGGTAGTAGTAGTAGTAGTCGTAGTAGTAGTAGTACTAGTAGTAGTAGTCGTAGTAGAAGTAGTAGTAGTAGTAGTAGTAATAGTAGTAGTAGTAGTAGTGGTAGTTGTAGTAGTAGTAATAGTAGTCGTAGTGGCAGTTTTAGTGGTAGTCGTAGTAGCAGTGACAGTAGTAGTAGTAGTAGTAGTAGTAGTAGTAGTAGTAGTAGTAGTGGTAGTAGTAGTCGTAGTAGTAGTAGTAGTAGTAGGAGTAGTAGTAGTAGTAGTAGTAATAGTAGAAATAACAATCGTAGTAGTAGTAATAATAAGAATAATAAGCGAAGTAGTAGTTGTTGTCGTTGATTTGGTAGTAGTAAGAGTAATCCTAGTACTTGAGTTACTAGTAGTAGTAGTCGAAGTAGTAGTAGAAGTAGTAATGGTAGTAGTCGTAGTAATAGTAGTAGTAGTAGTAGTAGTAGTAGTAGTAGTAGTAGTAGTAGTAGCAATAATGGCAGAGCAGTCGTAGTAGTAGTAGTAGTAGTAGTAGAAATACTAGTACTAGTCGTCGGACAACTAGTAGTAGTAGTAGTAGTAGTAGTAGTAGTAGTAGTAGTAGTAGTAGTAGTAGTAGTAGTAGTCAGTAGTAGTAGTAGTAGTAGTAGTAGTAGTACTAGTAGCAGTAGAGTAGAAGTGGTAATAGTAGTGGTAGTAGTAGTAGTAGTAGTAGTAGTAGTAGTAGTAGTAGTAGTAGTAGTCGAAGAAGTAACACCATTACAGAGGAGTAGTTTTAAGGCGCGGGCGCGCGCGCCTAACGGCAGGGCTGGGTGGCTCACACCCCGCGGCCGCGACATC